TTGCAATCACTTATAAAAGGAACCAGACGGCAAACAGAACATAAATATGGGTTTAATAGCAGTCTCTGTGGGAGGGGTACCGTGTGGACTCAGGAGTTAGCCTTCAACAAGAAGTCCAGGGGATCGACTAAATGTTTGCTTTGAACCCCATACCAGTGCTAAACTCTGCATTCCCACACCCTTATAAGTCTAAAAATAAGACGGATAACAGCATATGTCTCGTAGACGCTTTGGCTCATTGAGCCTACATTCTGTTGAAAGGTCTAATAATGTGAGGATCAGCTGTTCTGGCCTTTTTTCAACTTCACATTAGAGCTTTACAGACAAACACATTTGTCCCGAGTCAACTCAACAACTAACACACATACTGTATGTTCCACGTTATATTCATCCAATTCTGACCAGCAGCAAAACATGTTCAAAAATAAATAAATTAGATATTACTTCTAGTTCTGAACGTTCTGCTAGTTTAGAAGCTAACACACACACTTTGAGACACCATCCAGAAGTATATATATATTCCTCTTTCATTTGCCAGAAACAAAGCTAACTAGTGAGTCGCAAACTACTTAAAACATCACCAAACTTCACTGGTTGCAGAAAGGAGCCTATTGTGTTGAAGTCTACGAAAAAATGAGCCTACTTCTCACATGATTTATTACCTAAGTAAACAATTTCCAAATGAGTTAATGTTGTGATTGACAGGTTGGTGCCTAGAAATGTCTTGTTCAGAGTTCGCTTAACCCTCTCATGTCTTGGTTCCAAAGAAAACGAAGGCAACCGCCAAATTGCCAAACTCCAGGTGCCAAAACCGTAGTCCACAGACCAATGGGATTACATCTTCTTATATACAGTCTATGTGTGGGACCAAGCACAGTTATTACTTTATTAGTCCGAATATTTGGGTTTGTGCGCACTTCCTTTGAATTGATCACATGAATACGCTTATATTAATGCTCTGGAGTCTGGAATGGCAGCTGTCTGCGGGCATGCCACTGGAAGAAAAGGTATGAAATATAATAGCCTGAAATAATTGACAAAGAACCAAAACCTTGTTTCTTTTCCATGAACCATGGCTGTTAGATGTGTCCAGACTCCTTTAGGGGATCATTTTCACACAAATGATGGATTCCTCTCCTTCCACCTATTCTGTAGGTCACGCTGTAGTGGGAGGGTGAGCATTTACAGCCACTTCCTCCAGCACACGCTTTGAACTACGAGGAACACCAAACCACAGGTATTTCCACGCCAAAGTATCATTAGAGAGTCTTGTCGTGTGTTTTCATGAACCTTTGTCAAAAGCTGCAGTGTGATGTTGAACAGCAATGCTTTTTTTTTGTGAGGCAAAGAGCTGAATTCCTTCCTGCTTACATGTCAGAGGTAGCCCTGTTTTATTTCTGCTCCTGGCAAAATATTTGCATTAATATCTTCAAAAACAGGCTCACTTTTTTTGCCTGGCCCATGCAGACGTTGACACATGTCCGCTAGCATGAGAGACCGAATGTCGATCCCAGATTCTGTCTATCACGGGTTTAAAAGCACACACTCAGACACGTAATCCATTTCAACTTCCATCAAAGGCTTCCCAAACACCATTAACGCAAAAAGGCCGCAGCCATAATACCAGGGCCACTGTGCTCTTTACAGGGTGGAACATAACACTCTAATGCATATATTGACAGGCAAAATAAAGGAGTTTGTGCTTCCAGAAACAGCTAAACTGAGCTGTCTGGCAGTGCAAACAATTCCCAGCATTCCTCTGAAGAGCAGGGTAAACTCACCCTGGCCTTCTTCACGCACACAGGCTGAATCATTGATGCCTAATAGACTCCAACTAATACCCAAAACGAGCTTGATTCCATAAATATTGTGCTTTGTTAAAGTGTGCTAAGGTTAATGCTTAGTAATTGTACTCGTCATTAAAATGAGAATGTCTGTGGGAAAGAAGAAACAAGTCCTATTTTTTGTTGAATTGATGTGTTAATCTCAAAACAGAGACGGAATAAAAACATAGCCAGACCAGAAAAAAGGAAAGGCAGAATACTCCTGTTGGTTTTTACAGTGGGTCTATGTTCTGGGCCCTGTTTGTCCAGCTTCAACAGACTGAGCGCCCTCTTTTCATTTGCCAGGAGAACAAGTTGTTATTGGCTCGATTGAGTTCCATGGAGAGAGATTACACACCGTCTGTGTTGACTGAGAGAGACGATGTTAAGAACCCACGATGGACGTTTATAGACGCGAAAATCCAAAGGGCCATAAGTTTGTCTGCCTGTTTTAGAAACATGGGCTTCACTACTCACTCAAACAGATGGAACAAATAGTTTCCTGTTCATTTTTTAAAACTCCATAACTATACTCCAAAACAATACTTCAATAAATATCCTCCTCAGTAGGATTTGACAGCAGGTTGTGAGACTCCATGCTCAGCTAATGGAGTCTGTTACATGAGATACAGCGGACCGAGGGACTAATTGACTGCAGGTGTGGGTGGAGGCGCTTTGCCTCCTTTTTTGGGCTACTGGTATTTATAGCATTTTTCACATGAGCTGTTCTGAAAGTGCTGGCCTATTGAGTATATGTTAATGTCTCTCAGTTAATGTCCTTGGTGGTCTGAATGAGGCACATGCTGTAGCATGTGCCTCATTCAGACCACCAAGGATGTCAACATTTAAGTGCACACAACCCTGAGCAATAAAGCTCATGTGGTGGATTCACAGACATTGAGGTCTCCATCATGTTCTAAACTGTACTGTAAACACAAGCAGCAGCCTCTGACTCTGAACATGTATGTATGAAGTCCACTTCACACAGTCAATGGGTACATATGAAGCTACCACTAAAACCTGATTAGCTTAGCTTAGCACAACGCCTGGAAACAGCTTGCCTTGATGCACCAAACAGGGCCTTCATTTCTTTGCTGTCTCTTTGAATTACAAAGATCTATTTACTGTAAAATAGAAGCTGGTTACTAAGTAACACTTTAAAGTCCTTTTTCTACGGATATTAAAAACCCATCAAATTCAATCTAAATTATTCCAATGTATGCCTCACTGACAATGCCTTGGTCATGCCCGAGTAAACCTCTCTGATGAACTATCACAAGTCCTACAAACTGATGATAGATGACGTGGTTAATGATTCCTTTAATGTGATAATAATGCAGCAAGTTCCTCCCTGTGCAGGCTTTGTCAAAAATGTTTAGTCTATAGAATTGTATTTTTCAGTTTGTTTCCCAACACTTACAAGACTTCCTTCCGTCCTGTCTTCTACTATCCTGGGGGATTTTACACAATGGAGCCAAACAAACTACTACAGTAACAAGGGTCTTGGACGCAGTTATGACTCACTACTAATTTCCTTCCATGGTAACCATATTATTTAGTTTCAGACACTTGAAAAATGATTCAATACAACATGTTCATGACTGCAGCCATCTTTAACGTTTCTAAACCAAATAAAAAATATTTATATTGGAGTAAAACACTTTCCTCTGATATTAGTATAATTAGGAGGACAGAACACTTAAGTCTAGTACACAAATATCACATATACAAATGAACAAAAAATTCCTTCAGATATTTAAATAAAAGAGTTGACATATCTCCAAATGGAAGGTCAAGGGGTCAATGTCCGTAACACTGGAAAAACATATTTTAATATACCTGCAATGTACCACGATTATTATAGTTACAGTATATTGTGGTACATTATGGCACCACCCAATAAATGAATGAGTCTACTCAAACAATAGCTACTGTTAAAGCCAATTTGCAAATAAGTTAAACATTTAGAGAAGTGCCTAAATAGAGAGGGAAGTTTATCCCGCCACAAGGTGAAAGACAGTTGTATATAATCCATGACCCACAATTCCTTGGGCCAGGATCCGGTCTGCTTGGACTCCTTCCGTAAACAAGATCTGATTTCCAAATTTGACGTATTTGAGGTAACGTTCCCATGCCTCGATTCTAAAAAAAAAAACAGTTAAGTGCTTCAGGTTTGGCAAACACAAGCAGAGAAACTGGGAGGAACGCCGAGACAAAGCGAAGAAATAACAGGGGAAAAGGCAGCCAAAACTAAACCACACTAGAAAAAACGAATTGCTTGTGATTAGTTTGCTGGTAAATTGACTTTATTTGGAGTAGACTATTCAACTTAACAGGATATGGAGCCATGATTCCTGCCCTGTGCTTGTATTACTTTGGTCTGTACTGGACCTTTAAACATCGCCCCAATCAGGGATCTGTGGATGCATATTTTGGAGGGGTGAAAGGGAAATCCCTCGTCAGGTTCTGGGGATTACAGTCAGACTGAGAACGAGCCAACCAGATTGCAGGAGGATCAAGAGCTAGGTGGGAAAACATATCAGAACTGTAGCTGTAAGAGAGATGTTCCTCTAAGACTGCAGAAATGATGGACAAATCTGACCGTCGGTTCAAACTTCATTTGTAACTTAAGAAGGTGCCTTGAAACATTCCAGCTGTCAGCACAATGTTTTCCCACTCCAGACCCACGACGAAGAGAGCTGTTTTTCCTTCCTCCCCATTGATTGGGAGTTAATGTAAAACGAACATTGTTACACCCAAAGTGCCGCTCTGACATCCAAAAATCACTAAGAGGGAAATGGGAGTGATTCAGCAGCGCTAGTGACTCATTTCTAACCAAATCTTCTTAAATCATTCACAGCAAATAATAAACAAATTGCCAATATGCAAGCCATCAATAAACAAAGAACGTGTGTACTTTTGTGCATATAGCAGTTCAACTTGACTTCAGGCCCCTGTGCTGACAAGCATTCAATCATATGAAGTGTCATTGAACAAACATTGAATAGGCTTCAGTACTAATGACGTTTTTCCTCCCTTTGCAGACTGTCCTTCAGTCAGTTTTACATTTGAAATCAATATTCTCATTAAAGCCATCATAAGGTTTATCTTTTTTTACTTTACTGCAAGTGAAAACGTTTTCCCCCCCCAACAATGAACATTCAGGTGTGAAACTAGTCTCATGAAATCACCACTTTATTTTCATATTACAAATTAAACAGATTCTTAAAATGACATGTAATAGAATACAACTTAATGTCAAACCCATTACTGAAAGTGACTTAGCAACAAGACTAAGTCAAGGGTGTTACAGTCCAATACTAATTGTAGCGGGGTTCACCAGGTTTTTTGTGTTTGATTTTGTAGGGCACGACATCCACCATTATTAAAACAGGTGTGGTGTCAGTGAGACTTGCTGGCGATCCTCTTGGACCTCCTCAGAACAGTGGTCTCCTCCTTCCTGCCCTGGGGGGGAGCTTCCTGTTGGGGCGTGGACGGAGCTTCCAGTCGGGTCGTGGACGGAGCTTCCCGTCGGGTCGTGGACGGAGCATCCCCTCGGGTCGTGGACGGAGATTCCCGTCGGGTCGTGGACGGAGCTTCCCGTCGGGTCGTGGACGGAGCTTCCCGTCGGGTCGTGGACGGAGCTTCCCGTCGGGTCGTGGACGGAGCATCCCCTCGGGTCGTGGACGGAGCTTCCCGTCGGGTCGTGGACGGAGCTTCCCGTCGGGTCGTGGACGGAGCTTCCTCAGTTTTCACACCACTTTTTGGTTTTGTAGCTGCAGGTTTCTTTCTCCTCCCTCCTACAGACTGCAAAGCCTCTTGGGAACTTGCCTCTTGCTTCTGGACTCTCTTTTGTGGCCCTTTGGATTCTTTAACAGCCTTCGTTGGCTTCTCTTTATCATGTTTCCCACTCTCAGTTTTACCGTCTGCGAGCTTGCGCCTGGATTTAGTTTTGATCTTTGCTTGATCTTGAAACGTAACAGCCTTCAGTCTTCCCTTTCCACGAGTTTTGGCTTGCACTTTAGGATCTTGTGGTTCCTCTTTGACGACAACTTTATCTGCTTCCATTCCTGCTGCTGCTTCTTGAGTGTTCATCCGGATTTCAAGAGCCTTATATGCGTCCTGTTAAACAAGATATTGTCTTTAAAGAACAGTAAATCCACCCACAAATGGTTGTTTATAAGAACATCAAATCAGATTCTCACCTCTTCTTGTGAAAGTTCACATATCAGGTTTGACATTTGGCTCATTAATCCATGTACCTTCAGCTGAAATCAGATACAAACAAATGTTATATAGAAATCACTTAATTTTCTTTTACACAAGTTGGAGCGTCTCTTACCTGTTGACTGGCCACATTTTGTTCAAGCTGCCCTCTCTCTTTCGCTTCCCTCTTCTTCCTTTGTTTTTAAGCATTACATTACATGTCAGTTTAAGTACCTTTAGAGTTGTGTATGTTTGAGCTGTCCCACAAGCACATACATTCACCAGAATAGAAGACACACCTCCATTAAAAAAGGTAATTTAATCGAGCTATTATTTACTTGTTTGCCACCATGTTCTCCATCCGAGGGATCTCAATCCGCTTCTCCTCCGTGGCTTTTTGGACGGTTTCTTTCGTCACCGTGTCCAGGAAACAATCGAGGTCCAGGTCTGCCAATTGGGTGGATGGTGACGTCATGCTGAGGACCTTCTTTACCCACTCCATGAGGTCTTCACAGGACGGGTGCTGAAGGGAAACAACAGGAGGAATTCAACTTAAAGTTCACACAAGTAGAAAATACAATGACCTCAGCGGGTTTGTGTTTGAAGCTTTTTATCAAAATGTGAGACTGTAAATGCCAATGGAATGATCTCAAAGGATCCATCATCTTTCACATTTATACACTCTTAAAGGAGGGGGGGGGGGGGGGGGGGGGGGGGGGGGGGGGGGAAAGACATTCTTTGGAAAACAGTGCTATTTTAGGGTCAATATAAAAAGGATTGTAAAAATGTCTTTAGCCGACATAAGCTTGAACATTTGGAGAGCGTTATAGTGATGGTAAAAAAAAAAAAGGTCAGACAGGGTCAAATACAGAACTACAAACAATTCAAAGCCTTGGAACTTAGCTTGTTGTCCTCGAAGCTCCAAAGGAACCATTTTCTTGTTATTGCATCTCTGCACGGAAGGACGTGTGCATGTTCTTATGGACTAGATTTGATCCTGAATCTAGCTAGTTACAGCTCAGCAGAGAAGAACGCCATTCCTTTTCAAGCTGGTGTAGTTCAATAGAAAGAAAGTAGTTCCTTCCTGAATCTGCTCAAAACAAGCCCTTTGTATTAATCTTGAGTAAGTGGGTCATGACTTTGAAACACGTCTCCGCCCCTCAGTTAACGAACCTGTGTCCTGAATGATTGTGTCTATATCCTTCGGTGCAAGCCCCCCTATTTTATACTATTAATATTTACAAACACACCACCCCGCCACACACGCAAGATAATAAGCTTCTCGTCACTCATCTTTAGATCAGCCTGTGCTTTCTCCCTGGAAGCTAACGCCAGCTCTAATTGCATCAGTTCTTTACTGACCAACCTCTGCACCTCTTTCAAATCACCCTGAGGACAATCAAAGCAAGAAAACAATTAATCAGCACCTTGGTAGAAATCAAACTATACAACAATGATTGCAATCTGACCGAATAACACGGTTCCAATCAACAGCAGGTAGCGAGGAAGCCACACTTACCTGCAGCTGTTTAATAAGTTTATCTTCTTTAATCTTTTCCATAAACTCCAAGTCATTCTGCGTCAGCTGACAGCCCTTCATTCCTTTCAGCATGGTGTTAGGTTCTTCTGGTTCTGAAATGCAATAAAAGATAAAACAAGGAAAACAGCATCTCAACATTTGACAGATTGTGCCATATACGCCACATTTCTTCGTACCTGTTTTTGGTACAATTGCGTTGAATGTCGCATTTTGGTCATTGCCATCTTCAACTGCAGTATCTGCCTGTTGGGTAAAAGCACAACAGATTAACTTACATGCAATTCCATAAGATAGTTTGATAAAGAGTGCAGTTAAATAATGTACCTCCATATCCAGCTGGGGCTCCACCTGCTCCTCACTTGAATCTTCATTACAAAAATGTAATTGTTGCTTCACAACGGTCATAGGAGGAGTTCTGAGAAGCTGTCTTCCTGCTGGGATATCATTCCACGACTGACGGCTGTCTCTCATGATTTCAACACATCTGTCTGACATGTCTGAGTTTCTCTTCACTACTTCAAATAAGACTTAAAAAGAAACCAGTAACAAAAGCTGCTGGGTCTTTAGAATTGTTTGGTAGAGTACTGCTGTGTCTTCCTCCTCCTCACTCCCTTTAGTTTGAACTAGTGACCTGCAGTGAGTGTGTCTTTATAATCACTGATTCATTGTTTTCACCTGTGTCTCAGTCTGCTATGTATTGCTTTGACCGCCAGAGGGCGACAGATGCTTTTAGTTTTGCAGCACAGGAAGATTTTCTTTTTAACTTGAGATATTTCTCATTTGATGTAAGGCCAACATTAAAAACAATGTTTTTAACATTATATTAATAGTGAATAATGACCCCCTGCACTTATACTATAACTCCTAAGCGGCTAACCATTGTATGTAGAGCAGAAAGGAACTGGAATTGATGACAATTGAATGACAAATATATTACAATTCAATGCCAGTGGTGGAAAGAGTACATTTAGTACTAAAGGTTGCTAAAAACAAGACACGGCAGGCAAAACGGACAAATGTATTCTAATGTACTGTAGGTGTTTATCTTACCTTATCTTTATATGAAGAATTATCTTAAATTCCATACAAAGTTAGAATTAACATTAAGTATATACATTGTTTATTATATGTTAGAAGCAGCATTTATGATACATTGGAATTCTATAGCAGAAGCTTGTGAGTGTGATTTTCTTTATTACGGTCATGCTGAGTAAGTTTCACAGGCAGGCAGGTGTGCAGACAGACAGATGGACCCGGTACAAAATAGACGGATAGCCAACCAAAAGTGCGTCTATCTTTAAACTGAGCTGCCGGTGTCACACTCCAGGAAATCTAGAGGAGAGTGCTGAGTCGTAAATAGCTCTGTTTTTAAACGGCCCGCTCCCATAATGCCGAGGGAGGGAGGAAGAGGTCGAACAGCGTGTGTGCTGCTGTGTGGGATAAACTGGTGCATTATGACACTCACTTGGCAACACGGAGTGGAAAACATTAAGATTGGTTTTACGTTGCAGCGACAAATCATTCCTCAATACAAATCAGATTTAAAAGTATTTTCTCATCTTCGTCGACCATTCCTCGCTGGTGTAAGTGTCTCTTCCATGAGTGTGTGTTTGCAGGGAGGAAATGTACAGCGGGGGGTACACTGTAACGCTGCTGTCTTTCAACACTTGTTGTGTCTTTAAAGTGGAAGTGAAGAAAGACAAGATACCTTTTTAAAAATGTACTACATCACCTTTTTTGTGTTCATTTCTATTTGTTTGTTTATCCATTTGTATTAGAGAGAGAATAGATACCAATGCAAAAAGTAAATGACCCCTAAACCCCATTTGCAGTACAGGCACACGTACAAACAGACTTCCAACGACATCCTCCCAGACATCATTAAGACCATCACACACTCTCAGCACACAGCATGTAACAAATCTACAGTCCTGTGAAAGCTCTCCTGTCCCATAAAAGCCATTTACAGCTGCTCAGACATGTAACATATTGGGCAGCAGGCAGAGCAAAGGGGTCGTAAAGGGACGGATAAAACAGCACCCTGGAGCCTTGGGATGTGAGACAGGGACAGTGTGGACAGAGACAGGTGTCCTACTGAGAGACTTATGGAACATGGGTTGGTTAGTGCCACTGCTGGGAGATAGACAGAGAGCTGTTTGCCCCGGGAAACAAAAGAATGATGTCATTTAATACAGCTCAATACCGAGAGCTGGCGTTGGACTGATGAAAGTGTTGGGGCTCCAGGACAACTGCTGATTGGACCAACACTTTCAACTAAATTATTCTGATGTAGATCTATTTTGGAGGGTCAAAGTATTTGAATTTAATTGACACAAAATAGTGCAGGCTATTGTACCATATAGCCTTCTAACTTCAATATGGAAGCTCAAAATGGCCGTGTTTCAATCATTTCAAGTCTTCTGTTTTCCTGTGATAGGAAGTTATTTAAGTTTATTTAAGTTAACAGCATTCCCACTATCTGTTCTTCTACGGACAACATTTGTATTATTCCGCCGACTTATTTTGGCCCTCTTCTACTCCCGCATTGAACATCGCAGAAACTCCGTTCAAACATCAAAATGTTCAGCTCGGTCGGGAATCGATGGCTATTACTTTTCTCATTCATAATTCCAGAGATACATCCCCTAATACATCACATTTTTAAAATTGAAGTCAATGAACTCAACAAATCTTCATGCGACTTCAACTGCTAACTGTTCATTCATACTTTCACTCAGAAACCTCATTCCAACTTTAAAATGTTACACATCTTTCTGACATTATTCGTCTAAAGCAACTTTTAAATCTGATTTTTACTTTTAGAAATATTAAACATTGTTCAGACCTTGTTTTAGAGGTTTTATTCAGATTTTAACATTAACTAGAGTGCGTGATGTCACAGCTAAGGGTAGTGAATCTTGACATTTGCCTTCATATATTTTTTTAAAACTGCCATAATTCCCAAACCCTACATTGCTGAGACATAATTTTTCATGACAAACGTAGGAAAACATCTCGTAGCTTGAAAAATGACAAATAATTAAGCAAAAATAATTAAACAAAATGCCTCTTGAGGGCATGAAGTGACAAAAACGTTCAAAATTCCTCCATTGAAGCCCATTGTAATTTCAGGCAGATATTTCCTCACGGTAGCAGCCGCACACCTTTAGTTAAACTGCCAAAAAGGCCACATTATTAACCCGAAAGTACACAAAAATTACACTTCAGACACTCAACTTCCTTGACATGCTTCACGTTTTGAAATTTCACAGACATCTGTTACGGTTCTTCCACAAAACGTTCACATGTAAGAGGTTTATCTCTCATTCAGAACAATGGAAACCTCTGATCTCTGCACACCTCGTTAGCTCAACTATAAACACCTGTGTAATGGAACACGATGATGTCATCGCTCCAACTGACATGCTCAGAGCAGCAGACTTCAGATAGCAGTGTGCTAACAGTCCAGCCGTGAAGACATCTTCGTGACAGTTTTGAGAATTCTTCAAATGCCGTTGGCATGGCAACACAATGCTCGCCATGAAACACGGTTTTCTCATAACTTCAGTGAAAATACTCCAAACAGCCCAAAACTTCCCAGGTCTGGTAACGATGCAGCCATCAACGCATCTAATCGTATTATGGGGTGTCATCAAATGCCGTTGCCATGGCGACAGATCACTCGCCATGAAACAGGATGTCGCTGTAAGTCCAATGGACACGGTCCAATCGTCCCCCAATCTTCACTTGTATAGCACCGGTCCATGCCTCAAGAGCTCTACGCCAAATCTGAGATCTCACCATATGCCGTTTCCATGGAAACACATCCCTCGCCATAAAACATGATGTCGCTATAACTCCTATGAAAATGTTCAAAAAGTGCTCAAGTGTGCTAACAGTCCAGCCTTGAAGAAATCTACGGGACAGTTTTGAGATTTCTTCAATTGCCGTTACCATGGCAACAAAATGCTCGCCTGGAAACACGGTTATCTCATAACTTCAGTGAAAATACTCCAAACAGCCCAAGACTTCACAGGTTTGGTAACGATGCAGCCATCAACGCATCTAAGCGTATTATGGGGTGTCATCAAATGCCGTTGCCATGGCGACAGATCGTTCGCCATCAACTTAGTTCAGAAGTTTGCGGTTTAAATATTCTGCTGCTTTTCCAAGCCTTTTTACTTTCTTTTCTTCTCTCATCACACATTCAAGCCCCCAGTGTTCATGTATCATTTCAATCTAAATTCTTGAATTTCTTCTTACACATTTAATTTCAAACTAAATGATTCACTTTCTTCTTACACATTTCATTTTGATCTAAATGATTCACTTTCTTCTTACACATTACATTTCAGCATAGCAGTTTAGCGTCAGCTTTTCAGCATAAAGCATTCCCACTAGCAATTTCTTCAGGAATTGCATTCTCTAGTTTTTCTTTGCTACACAACACCACAAGCTATTACGTCATAAACTTTAAATAACCAATGTTTCTCAGAAAACAAGATGTAGTGCAAGGGCTTTTATGAAACAGTGTTTTTTTTCTCGATGTCAAAAATGAATTTGATCTCCTGTTTCAGTTAGCCAACATTACATAGTTTCGATATTTTAACAAACTATATGACTGAATATGGAAGTGAATGAAAAGAATGAGAGTGAAGTAACGGGATACGCACATGTGCACACATGTTTTCCAAATGATAAAAACACACGCACACATGAGCCTCGGGCGATGAGAGGCGGCTAGTTGGACACTTCGGGGCCTGAACTTTCTGTTGTGTGTCTCTCAGAGCTGTCAGTGCGGTTAATTTTGTGATGTTTGTGATTAGTGACCAGTGTGAGGTTACAGCATTACTCAGATCAGCCTGGACTTAGCCCTGTGAAATGTCTGGACTCAAATACAATGAAATAAATGTGTGGTCAATCTCCCTTCTCCCAAACCAATGTTCCCACACACATTGTCCTGTTTGAATGCATTATGTTTCAGTTAATACATACTTACATTACATGTCACTTGTTAAGACGATTTGATCCAAAGCGACTTACTTAGTACTTATTCAGTACTGTGGACAATCCCCACAGGTGAAGTGTCTTGCCCAGGGACACAACGACATGCTGACTGCAGTGGGACTCGAACTTGCTATCCCCTGATTCAAAGTTCAGCGCACTATTCCCACTGAGCCACAGCCTCCCACAATATTTCACGTAGCTTTTTAAATGCTTGCCATAGCTGCTAATGAAATGTATCACCAAGGTGTAAACATTATCCAGAGGAATGCCAGCTATGTATGCTCGTATATTATACAAATACAAAGACATGTAATAGTTTACACCCAGACAATGATTGTAAAGCAGTATATTATACTTAAAGACAACCAACATGTGATTTCTCATTAAACACACAATATGTAATTTTCTGCCTCTAGGGGTCTCTAAATCAAAGCTATGGAGTTTTGAAGTGTGGGGAAGTCCCGTGGCATCATGGGAGCTGTTGTTTTCACCAGCAGGATTACGTCAGTGTTCATTGTTCAGGAGATTTCAAACGGGGGATCAATAAAGTACTATCTTATCTTATCTTATCCACAGAGGTCTCCTCCTCTCTGAAAAAAAT